AGAGTACATGAGGCCTTTTTGTCTGGAGGGCCATGGGTTTGCTCTCACAGGAACGGACACTTACTGTGGGTTCGAGGTTGCCGGCTGTGCCCGGGGGGCTCATTCTCAGGGGCCTTGGAGACTGCATGTCTGCAGACACACAGTCCCACATGGAATCACTGGTCTGGGCAACAGCGGGAGTGAGCCCAGGAACACAGGGTCCACGCACCTCACACCCAGAAGCCAACGGACAGATCAGGTGTTGGAGTGGCCAGTTAGAGAGCAGCGAGGAGGGGACACACGGCAGGGAGCGCAGTCCTCCGGGATGTTGTGACTCACGCCTTCAATCAGACTCCCAGCAGAGAGTAGGTGGGTCTGCAAAGAATGGATGGAGGCATGAGCGGCCCCCACTCCGTATCCCTCCAGCAGCCCACGAGCCCCTGAAGGGACTCGCTGGGCCTGGAGACACAGGGAGGAAGGGCAGCTCCAGGCACTGCAGCTCTCCAGCAGAGACCAACCAGTGAGAAAACCGCCCGCTGGCCAGCAGGGGGACAGAGCTGCTCCTGCCTGAGGAGTGCAGAGTTCTGCTCCAGGACGTGGGGCTCCCTGGTATTCCCTTGTCCAACTGTGACAAGAGGACAAGACAAGATCAGCAATGAGGGTGTGGGGCCCCCAGCCAGGGAAGCTCCTGAGGTCAGCTGAGATGCTAGCAAAGGGTGAGTGAGCAGTGTCGGAACGGACTGGAAAGACGTGCGGGGACCAGTTGTGGTGGAGGAGCCACAGCTCAGTCCAGTAACTTCTCTCCCCAGCAGCTCTGCAGGAAGCACTGTTCCCCGACTACAGACGGAGAAAGCGTGGACTAGAGCTGACACCGCGTGTGGCTCAAGTCCCCCTTCAACCCAGGGTGAAGGGCCGCCACAAAACATACCAGACCCCGGAGTAAGGGAAAGAGCTTATTGCAGGAAACCCGACAGACTGGAGGGAAGGGGTGAAGGAGGAAAAGAGGGAGGAGAGCAAAAGAGAGATCGAGAGAGAGATCAGGAGATGGAGAGAAAGAGAGATCAGGAGATGGAGGGAGAGAGAGATCAGGAGACGGAGAGAGAGAAAGATCAGGAGACGGAGAGAAAGAGAGATCAGGAGATGGAGGGAGAGAGAGGAGAGAGCCATGTGTTCAGGAGAAGGTCTTTTTTTTTTTTTTTTTTTTGGACACATAGAGATAGTGAGAGAGAGAGACAGAGAGAAAGGCCTTCCTTCCGTTGGTCCATCCCCCAATTGGCCGGTGCTGCGCCGATCTGAAGCCAGGAGCCAGGTGCTTCCTCCTGGTCTCCCATGCGGATGCAGGGGCCCAAGCACTTGGGCCATCCTCCACTGCTATCCTGGGCCACAGCAGAGAGCTGGACTGAAAAAGGAGCAACTGGGACTAGAACCCGGTGTCCATATGGGATGCCGGTGCCACAGGCAGAGAATTAACCAAGTGAGCTGGCACAGGCCCCCCAGAGCAGGTCCTTTTAAATCTTTGCCGGAGGGCGGGCAGGGAAGCAGGAGCAGCAAATCCCATTAGGATGGGGGTGGAGCTTGAAAACAGTGGTTGGGCCTGTGGCCCTACTCCAGCAAT